GTCTCTATCCCAGGGATATTGTCCTTATCCCTCTTCCGGACGGCATCCAGCATGGCCTTGGCGTGCTTCTGGACATCTGGCCAGCGGGGAGATTGATCTGCACCACAATCAATACGTGATGAGTGCGAAACTAAGGCAGCACCTATCTGTTGCCGACCGTTTGAGGATGACGTCTGTTGGGAGTGGGATTTCACCCGTAAAGGCCACCCCAGCTCAAGCATGGATTCAAAAGGGTTCTTACCTTCAGAGCCGGCCAAGCGGGAAACGCTTGCAGGCGTGGTGAACCTCGCGGCTGCTGATAAGGGGTTGACAAGATCAAGGCACACGCTGCCGCCTACCTTCTCGAGTCGCCCCGCTATCCGCATCGTCTTAGCCCCGGCTGAGGCGCCAGGAGTTGACGCAGAGGCAGACTTTTTTATTTTATTGAGAACGGTTGGGGCCTCCTCTCTAGCCTGTTTGAGATTCTTCTCAAACGATTTCCCAACTTCTCCCCCCTGTGAAAATAAACAAGTAAAGGTTAGTATCTGGGCAAGATAGTTTATAAAATAAACTTAAGAAAGGGTCAGGCGCTCAATACCTTGGCCCTGAGCTCGACCGCAGCTTTCTCCGCAAGATCTTTGCGGATGGTTGCAGAAGACCGCTTGGGAGTTTTCTCCAACTGCAACATGTTTAGCGCTTCTTCTGCAAAAAGAAAGAAATTGATCAGAATCATAAATCAATTCCGATAGAAAAATGCTACAGACGGTGTGAACCCAGGCGCATACGTTTATTAAACATGTGCCCTAGCCCGCAGGCGGCTAGGAAACATTCATCCCTGAACCAGGAGCTCTTGGGAATCCAATTCTTAGGGACTTTTATTGTTTCCCCAGTTGACAGAGTTGCGTCTGTGAGGCCGAAAAAGTCTGCCTCGATTATTTTGTCAAAGTCTTCCTCTGGGATCCGGGGAAGAGCGCACTTCCTGCCCAACAAGTCGGGCTTCTTATTGTACAGACGAAATTCATAATTTTCCCGTCTGGTTGGGGCTGACATCAGGTAGAACCTGTGCTTCCAGCCATCGAACTTGGAGACCTTGTCCAAGGTCATCATGTATTGCGGCTGTGTGGTTAGAGTATACCACGCCCTCCAGCCGCCTGGGCTTCTGCTAAGATAATGCATGCTTGCAAAGGCCTCCCAGCCGGGGTTAAGCCCTTGGAACTCGCAGGCGGCAACATACCCCAGAATGTTGGTCCAGGAGTTGGGGGTAAGTTGCCAGAACTCAAGGCCGTAGCCTCTCAAAATTGCCTTCACCGCCCGGTGAAGGGGGAAGCGAAGGCCGGCTTTGAACGCCGCCTCATAACAGCCAAAATAGTTGTTGGCGTTCTCTTGATCATCCCCCCAAGCGATGGTGCCCAGCTCAGGCGGCACCCGGATCTTATACCCGTCTCCAAGCGGGTGCATTTTCTTAAAGTTCTCTAAGTTCTCCCCCATCTGGATTCGGTCCTTGGAGAAAACGTGGATGCTGAAGGGATCGTCTTTCTCACTCCACTTTTTCCTTTCTTCCTCCTCGCTATCCGGAAGAGGGGGCAAGTCATCGCTGCTCTCGGAGGTAGAGGTGGAGCTGTCGCTCTCCGTCTCCCCCTCGCTTTGGTCCATGGGGGCAGAGGCGGCCTCGTCGCCGCCTTGGTCACACTCTTCCAAGAAAGAGTCAGCAGGGGTTGAAGGGGCGCGCGGAGGGGATCTCTCCAGAGCCGTCTGGTCTCCCTGACCAGACGATTCTCCCTCAGGCGTTTGGCCGCCTGAGCCTTCGCTTCTATAATTCGGATCAGTGGCCGTCTGCATTGTCCGAGCCATGGTGTCCTGCACAGACACATAACTGATCGGCATCCATGGCAAAGGGTGGTCCCAACACCCCGAGCCGTCACTCCTAGTCCTAGACTCAGCCGTCCCTGGTGACCGGCTGGACTCTAACCTAGGCTGTGCCGTGTGTGTTGGTGATGCATCCATTTATTGCAAGAAATATGTACAAGCGGTGAAAAAAGTAAAGAGCTGAGAGAGACAGAGACGGTACCTTTGGATTTGATATCTGAAGGAAGGCGGGTCCGGCTGGGTTGCGGAAGAACAAAGTTTCTTGCTCGCGCCTGACTCAAACGGATGACTTCTGCTCTCTCGAAGTTTTTCTCTCTAGAAAATTTTTGTAAACGTACAAAATTATGAGGGTAAAACGACTATATATAGAGGGTAAATTTGGGGGCATTTTCGTAATTTACCCGGAAGATGAACGGTTACTCTGTAACGGTAAAATTACCGCCAGCCTGAGCGTGACATGTGTCACAGATGCCGCGTGGCGTGCCACGTCACATCTGTGAGGGGAAAATGTTTAGGGTAATTTTACCCTGCCACGTGGCCCAATCAGAAGGTGACACGTGTCAGCCCCAGATTGGTCTAAAATGGACCAATCCCTGCTCGACACGTGTCATTCCCGAAATCAAGGGAAAAGGCGGCCTTCAGGCCCAAATCCCGAGAATGCCGCCAAACGGCGCAGCCCACCAATGATTAGGGTTCAGTAACCTAATCAGGGGCACAATTCCCAAAGACCCTATAAATAGGGAGATGTCCCTCATTTTGAGGGGACGTTTTTTACCATTTGATTACATATTTTACTCTTTGATAGAGACATCCTGAGCTTGGAATCCGAGCGGATCCCCACCTAAATTTCCGCACCTTTTTCTCCTTTCAAGTTTCTAACTTGTGCGTCGGAGGCGGAGCACCACCCAACTGGTGTCTCCGTTTGTTTTGCAGGTACAGCTCACCCCGGATCAGTCTTCGTGTTGTAACTCTCCCGAGGGACAAAAACACCCAAAACAAATTTATTAAAATTATGATAATTTTGAAAACTGACAACAAAAAAGTGGAAACACCTTTTTCTTGTTTCCTGTTTTTGGTATTTGGTTTTCAAAAAAACAGTAAACTGAAAGCCAAAACTGATACCAAACAAGCCCCTAGGTTTCACACTGGTTTTTACAAGATTTTAGACCGTACCTAATCTTTACTTGGTATTATTCCGGCCAATTCATGGGTCATAATTAAAACCAAAACCAAAGAAAATGTGTTAATGTTCTACTTCTTCTTTTACATATATATTCAAGTTTTACTTTTAATTGGCTCAATTATGGGGTTGACCAACATATTAATGGATTTTTCGAATTGGGTTGATTTCAGGATTTTCATGGCCTGTAACTTTGGGCTTAATTTTAATTTTGGGTCAGTTAATAACTTTTCAACTTATCCTATAAGCAATTCGATGACCCAAAATAAAGGCCTTGTTTAGGTAATGTGTGTCCAGCCCACTCCAGTATAAATGGTTTTTTGTATTTGAGAATTGGGCCTGGTCTAAATGACAACTACCGAGATGTAGCTTCTTAATTGCGGAGTAAACTTGTTACATTTTGAGTGGAACTAGCGAGACACTTGAATGAGGAGATCCACCCTTAACAAAATTATCTCTATTTCCTTGATTGTACTCTTTCATGCATCTTTGAGTTTCTTAAAAAAAAAATTAAATCATCAATAAAATAGCTACAAGAGCATTACGCATTACAAAAAAGGAAGTAGGTAGTCAAACTCGTGATCTATAGTACTTGGATAAATGTCCTCACTTAGTATTCTCCATAAATCCAAAAATAAAACTTCTTTTGATAAGATTAGGTGCTTGTTCTCATACGATTATTTTCAGTTCAGTTCAATTCATCTCTTATAAGTTCAGTTCAGTTCAACTCTTAATTTTTTTCTCTTATAAAATATTCAGTTCAGTTCAGCTCTAATAAGTTCAGTATAGTTCAGCTTCTAATTTCCTTCTCTTATAAAATATTCAGTTCAGTTAAGTTCTAATAAGTTCAGTTCAGTTTAGTTTGGCTCATTTTAGTCAATGAAAACGGGCCCTAGGTCATGTCTTCATTGGTGCATATTTGAACTTTATTATATTGTATTATTGTATACATTAGGGCTGCAACATGTAATTGACATATAAGATAGGTCATATTCAAGTTATGATATTTTTAATTTGTTCTTAGTTTTTCAAATTTATATTAATTGTTTTTTTTTTAATACAAGGAATAACTTTTTAGTGATATTAATATATTATCATAAATATCAATAGTTTTACTACTTTTTGAGTTAAAATAATTTACATTTTGTCATAGAAAATGAAAGGGAGAAAAAAGAGCTTAGGTTTTGTTTTCTTTTCTTTTGTCCTTTTTTTTCCAAGGACTAAAGAGGTAGTACAATAGCAGAAAATATTTAGAATTATTTATTATTACAATTATTTTCCAATAATCCCTAATTAACTTGTTCATAATCTTTATATTATTATGTCTCATTCTAGACCGTCCATGTGACATACACCTAAATTTCATTATTCTCAAAAATAAAGTATGATGCTTGGCTAACGGTGGTAGCAATAGAACAAATGAACAACAATCAAAAAGGAATTTGAAAAGTGAAAAAGATAGATTGATTTGGACCGGCTATATTCCTCTTTTTGTCCGATTAATTAAGGCCATCTATTATTTGACCAATTAATTATAGGTAAACAAAGAATTTTATTAACAAATTGATCATGTTGTCCGCCATGTTTATTTGAATAGTCAATGTGAACTAGGCAATGATCTACTTTGACAATGATACAATATAATAACAACCCCATGCTATTCAATTTCAGTGACAAAATTGAATTTTAAATACGAGTAAACATCAATTGTTACAATGCATTCAAATATATAAACATTTTTAACATGTATCAAATTTTGACCTTGGAGCGAGATATAAGGCAAAAACATATCGATTATAAATTAGTAGATGTAAGTGTAACTTATAGTTAAAGCTAAGATAAACGTAGTATGAATTAAAAATATCAATCGGACCCATATCATCCTTGCAATTACCAAATGACCAATTTACCACTAACTATATTTTTTTCTTTTGAGGAAATACCACTAACTATATGAGTAAAGAAAGACCAATCAACTAAAGTTGCAATCATCATATACAAAATTATCAAACACAATAGCAGACCCTTAAAGAAGAAGCTTCCAACTTGTTTCTAATTTTGACTTGTCAATCTAATCATCCAATCTTTTGCCTAATTGCCTTTGTACAATATTGATCCTTTTCATAGGAATTTGGCCAACATATTTTTTACCTATTATACATCCAAACATAGATACGTGTAGACGATGTGTGGCGTGTAAATGTTTCATTCACGCACTTCACCATCATCTTACATGTCATCCAATATAACTTCCTTTAATCCTTACATACACCGAGTGTATAATAGAATAATTTACATCCCTACCAAAATTAACCAAAACAAAAATTTCTCACATTTTCCCCTAATTAAGTTTAAAATATGGTGAATATTGTTACCTCCACCAAAGTTGTAAAAATAAATAAATTAAAAAGCATGTAAAACTAATAAACTATAAGATAATTTTATAATTTACAGGTAAAAATTTGTTAACTTAGACGGGTAAATGAGTCAACTCAGCTTGCATAGCACCACGCAAAGAGCCTTCTCTTCTTGTAGTAGTAGTTGTTGTTACATTCTCACGAACAGAACCACGCAAAGAACCACCTCGACTAGTAGGTGTAGTACTAGTAGTACCAACACCCCTAGGTGATTTTACCGACGGCGCCCTGGTAAAAAAGGGCGGCGCTAATGTAAAAACCCACCGGTCAGACCGACCAAGATTTGGTCGGTCTGAACGGACACTACCGAACCGGCCCCTACTACTCCCTTCACCGAACCCGGTTCGGTAACCTCGTCTTGAGGATGTTTCTCTAGGGAGGACTAACAAACTAGTGGTCCTCTCTAGCTTACCACTCACTATTTGCTTCCGTACTTCTGCCGGTAATCTTAGCGTAAACCTCTCCATATCCTCCCACTGTTTTACCGCCACGTGTCCTGTTGAAAATGACCGCGCAAATCTTCCCAACCATCTCGGCCGTCCAAATGAAAGGTTCCTCATCGTACGGCTCCTACCCATTCTCCCATGTAAAGGCTGCTCCATTGATTCATTTCCTTCGTTATTGTTATTTTCATTGTGATCTTCATCCCTTACTTCGTCTACTACCTCTACAACGACGTCGTTCGGGTTTACCTGAACTTGATCAACTCCAATGTCAGCCACATCAGCTAGGTTGCAACGGCAAACGGGACAAGTAGTATGGCCCACAAGCCAAGCATCTATGCAATCAGGATGAAACACGTGGTCACACTTAGGTATGAGTCGCAAAACATCATCATCCTCGAACTCCGTGAGACAAACCGCGCATTCAAGCGCGCCTTTTCCGAACTTCGCGGACTTAACAGACGCGTAGTCGAAAGTCGGGAAGCTCTCGATAACTTCCGGGTCGAGCCCACGTGGGGCTCGACGCGACCGTCGTATCGAGCCAATCCCCCGACCCACCGCGGTACCGTGGGTGGAGGAGCTGTCGGAGCAGTGGCGAATATAGATTGAGAAAAACCCCATAAAAAAGAGTGCGGCAATTAGGACAATAATGATTACTCCCATAGACGGGCTGAATTTCCCGCCGTTGTAGAACCCATCCGGGACTCCCCCGGGTGGGCTCTGTTGCGCAACGGCGAGGTTACTCGTAAGGAGTAACAAAAGGATGGGTATGATGGAGTAATTATAGTCTTTCATTTGATACATTACTGATTAATGTATCAATTAATACAGTATAAATTTAAGGATTTGAGATAGTGTAGTGGGGTAAAAAAGCGCCGGAAATGGCATTTGAGAAGTGAAAATATAGAGAGGAAGAAAAGGAAATAAAAGAGAGTAGAATGAAAGGGTTTATATATAAATGGTAGAAGGTGAGAGAGAAGAAAGAGAGAGAATGGTATAGTGTCGTGTAGTTGAGTTTAGATGGGAATTAGTCAAAGTTGTGACTTTTATTGTTGGTTTTTGTGGATTTCAGACTTTTTGCTCTGTTTTTTGAATTTTGTTAATGTCAATTGTTTATGTTATTAGATATTTATTAATTAAATATCCACTTTACCTCTTTTTACTAGCTAGTGCATATATTTGGTTATTTTTTTATTTTAATTAATTCCTCAAATGCATTGTACTCTTTATGTGCTAGTGGAGTAGTGGAAAATAATTGTCCGAATGAAGAATATGAGTACTCTCATAACATTCATTAGTATTATATCTTCTTTTTAACCCTTATTACAATATGCGTGATTGTTAAAAACCTTACCTGATTGGCTGATTCTAGATGATGAAATGACATGTGCTACTCGTCTATAAATCATTCCCCATGGATCAATTCAAGCAATTGATAACTCTAATTATGAAACCCTTCAAATATAAGATAAAAAGGATTGATTGCTTCGTCCGTGTTATTTAACGCAATGCTGCTATACTCCTTGATAATGTCTCATTAAAATTACTCTACATAAATTTAAGATAAAGATTTATAGATTAAAATTAGGACATGTTATTTTACGTTGAAATTCAGTTCAGTTCAGTTCAGCTCAGCTCAGCTCAGTTCAGTTCAGTTCAATTTAGCTGCGTTCAGTCAATGAGAACAGACCCTTATAATACGTTCTAATGACTGTATTATTACAGACTTACCAACATAGTATTTGTTCTCTTGGGGGTACGAAACTAAAAATCCAATTGTTCATTTTTATCCATGTAATTGATTGAAGGTGATGTAAATTGACTTTTTGCCCTTTGTTGGAGTAGATTAATATGTTGAACATGATATGAGATGTAAAAATTAAATAAGAAAATGTAGCTGCATGTTATTGAAATTTCTATTGATCGCTACATTTTGAAAACTTACATATATTAACAATTAATAACAAACCATTCTAGAATAACTTGAATAATTGAAGATCAATTATGCACAAAAACAAAAAGGATAAAGGGCCACAGTACAGTTTTCTAGTAGGCCTAATAAGAGCAAGATTGTCAATGACGGATTATGGAAAAGATTCATCATTTTTCTTTGTTTACTTTCACTTTCTCACTACAAAAAAAAATTCATCCTATCAATTATCAAAGAAAAAGACTTAAATTTGATCATTTTTTTTTCTCAGTATTTCAAATTGTGTCAATTATGTATCTATTTAAACACAAACTTTTATATTCGGTTGGGTACACAGTGTGGTCAACCATTATATATGAGAATTACTTTGTTAAATGCTATAGAGATTACTCATCACTTAGTCAGGGGTTACTAAGTCGCACATGGGTTACTCGGTCAGAGTTACTTGGTCGACTAGGGGTTACTCACTCGGTGAGTAATTACAAGGTCGGTTAATTTGTCAATATTTTTAGATAAAAATAAATGTATTGTGACTAGAATAAACATGTATGATCATGTTATGTGAAAAATTGTGGAAAATAATACAACCTTTAGGCGATTCTTTTTTAATAATACAACCTTTCGATTATTTCTTAATATTACAACCTTTGGGGGTGTTGAATTTTAACAGACAAAATAACTCGTAACCGGTTGAATAAGTTACCATGACACGTGTTGTCATGTAATTGGTTTAAAATTAAAAAAAAAACAAATTTTTAATTTTTAATTAAAATTGTTTAATTAACTTTTAAGTTTTAATAAAATAATTTTAATTAAAAAAAATCAACCCTCCAGCCACCACCACCCTTGCCCCTCCCCTGTTTTCTCCACCACCACCTCTCCACCTCCCCTGTTTTCTTCACTCCCCTGCCATCACCGTGCGCCCAACCAACAACAGCAGCATCGACCACCCCGCATCACCCTTTGCTGCTCCCAAACGCACCACCACAACAGCCACAATCATCACCACAAATCCAACTCCCTTCGCTGCTCCCACACGCACCACCAGGCATCACTTAACGCCACCACCACAATCCCTCTTTTGGTTTCGGGTTTAACCCAGAAAACCCTTTTCCTAGGGTTTTGGGGTTTCGGGTTTTCTTGATTTAATGGATTTTTAATAGTTTTAGGTGAGGGAATAGGGTTTATCGTGGCCGGAAAACAGGGGATGGGGTGGTTTCTGGCTGCGATGGTCAGTTCGTGGTGGAATCGGGGCTGCGGTGGTGTTGGTTTTCGCGGGCGCGACGGGTAAGGGAGGTGGAGGTAACATGGAGTGGGTTGTCGGCGGTGTGTGAGCTAGACGCCGGCCGTTCGGTTTCTTGGCTGGGGAAAGGGGAGTTGTGTGAAGACGGGGGGGGAGGAATGGTGAGGTGGTGGCAGGGGTGGTGGGGTTTTTTTAATAATAATAAAAGTAATTTTATTATTAATTATTTAAAATTAAAACAAATTGACAAAGTCAATAAAACAACGACACGTGTCATGGTAACCTGTAAAAACAGGTTACCAACCGGTTTTTGCCTGTTAAAATTCAACACCCCCAAAGGTTGTAATATTAAGAAATAATCGAAATGTTGTATTATTAAAAAAGAACCGGCCAAAGGTTGTTTTATTTTCCGCAATTTTTCCTTTTTTAAAATGTTAAAGATATAATTTGTCAATATTTTTAGATAAAAATAAATGTATTGTGACTAGAATAAACATGTATGATCATGTTATGTGAAATCTTATATGATTCAGATTCATTAGAACACTATCTCGTCTATCTATATGATATGATCAAAACAAAATTATATTTATGGATTAATTAGTTGATTAAAACAAACATATACGAGGATTAATTATAAGATTTAAAACAATTAATTAGTAATATGTTTTAGTTGAAATATATTTTACTTTAATTCTGAAGTGAAAACATGTATGCGATGGATCTACGATATATACAATTGATTTAATCAATTGTAATCACAATTTGTATGAGTTGTTACCTATATACAATAGCTAAGTGAAAAGAGCTTTAATAAGTACTACTAGAAGGAAATAGAGTAGGCTAGAAAGTTGAAAAAAATTGAGTTTAAAACAAGTGTAGTTGTAATTATAGGAGTTTAGGACGGTAAATGATCAAAGTCGTCTTTTACTAGTAAAAGAAAACGTGACAATAATTATTCCAAAAAATAATACTAAAAATATATTAAAAGTTGGTGGGTGTAACAATTATTTTAGGAACTTATTGTAAAAGAATATCGTGCCGCTATATGTTCCGCGTAGCTTAGCTTGAAGTATTTCTAGAAGAACCTCATTCTCTTTTTCAAATGTCCATACTCGAATATTTGCAAAAACTTTAGTCTTAAATTATTGAATGACTTACCAACTGAGATATTGTTGATAATAGAATCTTACACTATTTTTAAGCTACTTTTATTTTTATGTATTGTATTCACACTACTTTATTGTAGCGCTACTTTTAATTTTTGATCTGAATCATATATTATATTATTATATACTATTGCTCTTTTTATTCAATATGGTTGCAGTCAAGGACCACTACCGTATGATAAGGACCATTTTTTTAGTTCAATCTGTCAAATTAAGCTATATATATATAATGTACAAAATAATACGGAGTAATATTCAATATGACGAACAGTTTTCTGATTACTCATTGAGATGTTGATGTATGATGTTAATATTTTGTAGGTTGGTGAGAGAGATTTTTATCTAGTTAAATTATCATCTTCATTAATGGATAAGTTTGGGCGGCCAAGATTTAGGTGTCAACAACTTTTTACTGCTGCTTTGGTTCATACTATTTGTCACACTCTTGCTTAAGCAGATGAGTTTAGCATGATTGCTACTTTTTCCGTTTCATCATAATGTTGTATGTAGTCTTGTACAATTTTACTACTTATGAGTTCGTTTTAAGGATATTAATCATGTGTTTTTTTTTTGTTAGTTGTTGTTCCATCCCGGTTCTCCCTTTGGGCTAATCCGGATCAGTTCTGGATGGTTAGCTTAGGTTCCAGTCTCCTCCCGATTGTTGTTGCGGGGGATCGATCGAATACGAGTCCTCACTACCAAAGTACCAAGTACCACTACACCAACAACCAATTGGTAGGATATTAATCATATGTAGTTTGATGGTTTAGATGTTAGAGAAAACATTACTCATGAGATATTATAATAAGATTCATTTCAATGAATGTAAAATTTTATAATGCTAAGCCACATCAAATCAGATCAAATATTATCTTTTTATTTGCATACATTTTTGGTTGAAACTTTTTGTATTTGTAATTTCTAAAATTAAGAAAATTTCATATTTGAAAAGTGCATGCATATTAATACAAATCTAATGGGAACTCATTTCAGGGGCGGACCCATGAAGAAACAAGGGGGGACCATTGTCCCCCCACTTTGGGGAAAAAAAACAGAGGAAAAAGATGATGATGGCCCTACCATCTGGGGCACCAAGAGCCATCTTCGAAAGATGGACAAAGATGATGATGAACAGGCAGAAGCCAACTCCTCCTTCCCAGACGTCTTGATCACTGAGAAGGATAGGGGCAGCGTTCGCCGCCCGCATGATGACCCGGTGGTCATTGAATGTAAGGTTGCCAATCAGCTGGTTGGACGGATCCTTATAGACATCGGCAGCTCATCAGACATCATCAGTCTCCGGTGCCTGCAAAAGCTGAAATACAACGTCAGCAGCATGCATTCGGTCACCCACCCCTTGGTTGGTTTTGGAGGTGGGATGGTCTACCCAGCCGGGAGAATTGACTTACCCATCCGGCTGGGAGAGAAAGGCCAGGGACGACACATTGTCGTCAGATTCTTGGTCGTTGAGGAGTTGACCTCCTATAACATCATTCTTGGTAGGCCAACCCTCAACGTAGCCAAGGCAGTAATCATCCCTTCCCTCATGCTCATCAAGTATGAGAGGGATGATGGTTCTGTTGGTTCCTTGAATGGGGATCAGAAGACGGCCCGAGAGTGTTATCTCTCAGCCGTCCGAGATACCATGGCCCCAGGCGGTCAGGAACCAGTAAACCTTGACAATGTCAAGGATGCCGACCCAGCTCCTGCCCCACCAGCAGCCAGAAAGAAAAGAAAGGCTCCTCTGCTAGTGGAGGTGAAAAAAGAGAAAAAATAGCAATCATTGACCGGTGAACGGTTAGATGAGCTCCGTTCCCAACCAGCTGGCGAAAGCATTGATCTCGTTCTGGATGACAGCCGTCCAGAACGTACTGTTAAGGTTGGGACGGTTGCTCATG